GGATACCACACCGGAGCGATATTCCTAGACGTCTCCAAGGCGTTTGACACAGTTTGGCACGATTGACTACTAGTCAAAATGAGCAATTTTGGCTACTCGAAACAAATAGTGAGACTGATCGAATATTTTCTAACTGACCGGCGATGCAGCTGCAGAGTAGGACAAGAACTCTCCACCATGCGATCACTGGAAGCAGGTGTCCCATAAGATGCAATACTTTCGCCACACCTCCTCTTAATATACACAGCAGACGTTCCCAAGCCTGAGAACAACTTCAACAAGTTGTCACTCCACGCGGACGACACAGCTCTACTGGCGAGATCAACTAGTCTTGCGCAAGTTACCAGATACTTGCAACAGCAAGCGGACATATAAGAGGAATGGCCAACCTTTGGAAGATCAGCATAAACCCCGACAAGAGTCAGGCAATATTGTTCACCCGGAAGGAAACGCAACCTTCAACGGCAAGAGATTCCGTGGACCAACGAAGCGAAATATCTGGGAGTGACTCTCGGCAGAAGACTAATATTTCGGGCACACATACCTATATCCAATTATAGGTCGCAAAAGCAGCATGGGACTTCACGTGAAACTGCTGCTAATCAGTACTACTCCCAATCATCCTGTATGCCTGAACTGCCTGGGGCAAGTGCGCAGCTACATAGATGCAGTATCCCGACATTCATGAACGGTTGCGTGTAAACCTCCGTAAACGCTTCGAGATACATACCAAATAGATACAACAGTCCAGCGCTGCGCGATCTACACGAAGCACTCAACAGGAAAGACCCAATATTCCGACAGTGAGACAAACACAAGAGGCCAACCAAGTTGAATCAGAGACCACCCCCGAGAGTCACTATCAGGCGGCTCCGGTAAGTATAAAATCTTCTTAACCAGATTTCAAATTCACTTCTTTTTCAGATTCACTGGGAACCATTTGCTCGCGTTCTGACGACACGCGTCTCCGGTTAGTTTTTGGGGGGCCCATGCAATAAATTACATTCAAGTGAAGTCACGATTAAGGAAATACCAGACAAGAAAGTAAAAGCACCTAAAGGGTGGCTTTCTACCGCAGTAGCTCAGATATCAGTCTTGATGAAGTGCTCGTCAGTAAGTTGAGGACCGCTCCGGCTGCTCGGCCGCGAAAGCCTTAACCAATCTACTTTAACTTTTCGATTTTTGTTACATCTGTACAGCAAAGTATTTTATTTCAATTTGCAGTTATCTATGAAGTTAGTGCAATGTATTTTTGCTACAAACACTCCAACTTGAACTAACTGGAGAATCAAATTATCCCACAGTTTGACCGAAATAAATAATGAAGAGTATAATTTTGTTTTATTCGTCTTATTTATTTGGCAAAACCATTTTCCTCATCCAACTAATAATTGTACAGGTTTTTCATTGTATCATAGTAGTTATACATAAGGTGCATTCTTTCGATTCTTACTAAAAAGTTGAACGAAAGCAGTGGATCTCTCTTAACGTCAAAAAATATTTAAAGATCCCAACAATGAAGGTAAAAACACTTTATTCGAATTTGAAATGTTGATATAAATTATTGATGCCAACTATGATAACCCCAAAATCAAGATATTCATCATCAATAAGCAGCTCCTTATAATAATAAAAAATGTACAGGAAAATGTTGATCATCACACTGGAAAGTGTAAAATATTTTGAAAAGAAGTGTGAAGGTAACGTGGTCAATAAACATTGTGTGTTTCTTCAGTTTTTATTGTGGAAAAAGAATGCTGAATAGTTGCAATTTTCAAAACTGTGGAGGGCTGTGTAAGTCTGGAAATAATGGAGAGCATACTTTTTTCTTTTCGGATTCGAAATCTATGCGTCAAAATGAAGTACACCCATTTTTTAATGGGAGAGAGCAGCTTATCCGAAATTTTATCGAAAAGTTTTATCCTACCACAAAATGAACTCCTTCATACAATCCATCTAATAGCACTGTATTCAAATGGAACATTCCACAAAACTCATTTATATGAAACAACTACTCAATCTGGTCAATATGGAAGCCATATATGTTGATGAAGAAAATAATGATGTCGACGACGATGATTTGAAGTCAACTGAAAGAACGAATAATGCAAGCAATCGATGTGGACCAATAACAGATATGTGAATAATATGTGAATAATATTCTTCTCTGGAATGATAACTTGCATTTTCCATCACAATCACAGAGTTAAGTCGGTAGAGGTCTACCATTTGATCTAAATATTTTTCAAACACATTAGCGTTCATGTCTTCCACATATCGCCAGAATGGTTTGACTCAAACCATCAACACTTCTAATGAGGGTAATCCAGTGGCGTAGCGTAGAGGGAGCGAGGGGTGCGGCCCGCCCCGGGCGGCACTTTTTAGGGAGCGGCAAAATTTCACAGTAAATAATAAAATATATTTTGTAATTATTTGAAACATTTCATATTTTGACGCAACTATGAATTGGGACCAATTGAAAAGAGCACGGAATTTTTCATTACGTGTTCTGTGACGAATTCGGGGAATCCCCTTTCTTTGAATATTGTTTAATACGTCCGTTTAAGAAAGTACGTGATGCTTTGACAATTCAGACAGCACTAATCTAGACGACGCATCTGTTGAAATTGGATTTCAAGCTGGAACAACTTCGACTGCGAACTTTCGTTACTGCTACAGGCAACGAAAATAAATAAATTAATGCAGACTCACTTGAATTATTGAAGTTTATTGTAAACTATGAACTGGAAGACATTGTCCAATATTTTTATCATGCTGCGAATATTTTTTACAGTTGCCATAAGCAATGCCAGCTGTGAGAGAAGTTGTTCGAAATTGAAATTAATTGAAAATTATTTGAGGTCGACCATGAGTACTCTAAGACTAACAAATTTGGCTATCTTGTCTATTGAACAAGAGGTATGTGATGCTACAAACATTGATGGTGCAATAAAATACTTTGCTCTTAACAAAAGTAGACGTTTAAATTTTTGATTGGAGTCGGAGATTTTGTTTTTACATCAAACAAGTACCTACCTATAGTATTCTTCAAAAAGATATAAAAATTACTTAATAGTATCATCCTAGTTCTAACTGGAAACTAATTTTCGTTTTATATTCAATTCGCTAATTATTCAATCATGTCGAATAAATAATACCTAAGTACCTTTTATATCAATGGTTGAAGTAAGAGTTTTTGTATTAATAAATGTGATTGTTAAACAAATAAACTTTTATTTAAAATCTAACTTATATAATGCAAAATCATGATGACTATTCTTGCCGAAAATTTTCTAGAATTATATAGAATTATATTATATGTATAGTATACATAAAATTGTCTTCCGCCCCGGGCAACCGATACCCACGCTACGCCACTGGGGTAATCAGTCGCTTTTCTTTTCCAGAAGGTGACTTCAATCCGGTAGGTGATCCTTCTGAAAATGCTTGTCGTGAAGTTGTAATATTTTCGTCTTGCCACATCTTTCCAATGGTATACTTATCCTTTTGTTAAGGCCAGATAATACATCTTTATATATTGAAACTTTCGTATCTACTTCAGGTAATGACTTCTCCAGCATCATCATTTTTGATCAAAAGCGATTTTCTGTTTTGTTTTTCTCAGCTGATATTTATTTCTTTCAAAGTTTTCCACAATTTCTTTCTGCCTGTCAAGACTCACATTGTTTTTTCTAGGGTCAATATTTCTGTTCAGCTCATTGTGTTCTTTTTTCTAATGATGGTTTTCGTGATTTCACGACAATCTTTTTTTCTCATTGTTGAATCTATATACAGGGTGTTCTTTAAACACATGCTAATATTTGAGGAGGTAATTCTTAAACTCATTTTAAGGAAAAAACGTCCTATGGACGTATGTCCTAAACGCCTTAACTTTTGAGATACAGGGTGGCAAAGTTTTCAAAAATAATCAGTTTTTTAATAACAACTGAGATAATTTTGTAGACATCTTTGGCATATTTGGTACATATGTTCCATGCCTCAAGGCGCATTTTCTGATGTACAATTTACCTGATTTTCTCTGCCAGTGGCGTACGTACGAGTTTTGAAATGTATATTTTTGGCGAAAAAAATACTACGCCACTGCTTTATCTTGAATTCAAAATTATTTTTAAAATCCTTATTCATTTTTGAGAAAATTTGATCTCCTGGTATTTCTTTGTGTGAAGTAAAGTATTGAATATTCAATCTAATTTTGGAAGCAAAAACAATTTTTGGTGTTGAATAAAAAAATCTTTGAATTGCTAATGCAAGCGTTCCATATTTTTTTACTCGCCGTACCTAGATACCTATACAACTATGAAAATTTTTCACAAATTGAGAGGAATTACTTGGAGACTGGCTGTAAAGCAAATTATCTAAAAGAGCAATTCGTTCAGGCCAGTTTGTCACATCAAATCATACAACAGCATTGATTTTTCAAAATAAATACTATATTATTCAATTTTCAACGGACTCAATTATGCAGGCAAATGGAACAGCAACTTGATGATGGTTCAATTATCTGCTGCTTAATAGAATATACTTATTTTGATTCCGGTCAAAGAATTGTTTCAAAATGATAACCTGTCCATTACATATTTTTTCTCAAATATGTTTTGAATAAAATTTAATTCAAACTACTTGTAACATAATGAATTGTTTCCTACTTTTTTTGAGTTTATAACCTTCCACAATCTGAAAAATATACAAAGTTTTATACAGGTTTTGAAAACGGAAAGAGAGTGTTTTCCGAAACGTCAAGCACAGAAGAAAGCAGCAGATTGTCTATTGATTTAGCTTTATTCATTTTTCAGATTGTGAAAGTTTATACGCCCCAAAAAACAGTAGTAAATATTGAGTCCTCCAGAAAAAAATGTTTTTCAAAGAATATAATCAGTTGTATTTCTACAGTTGATGTTATAATCAAAATTGTCATATTGTACATGTAAATCATCCATGGTTTATATCTCATAATAATGAAACGTTTCACTTTTACTTACATTGTATTCGGCTTCGTAGCATTTCAGCATGTAACCTTCATATTCTTTTCTCAAGATTCCTTTAGCCTGCGAGTCCTGTCCGAACAAAATTGTTTTTAAATATTTCTCATTTGCATCAGCATTATTTTCCATCACTTTCTTTTCTCTTTCTGCGCAAATAATCAATGCTTCACGATCTTCCTCATATTGCTTCTTGAGTTGATCCACATATTGATTTTGGTGTTCTAAAATATCATCGATGTGAGTTGAATGCGATCTAAAATTGATTGAATATTCTTCTTCAGCTTCCTCCAGTTGTTTCAATAACTTTTGGATTGTATTATTTTTGTACGCTACGAGTCTTTCTATCCACTCCCTCATATGCTGAAATAGAAATGAACAGTGATGATTTGAAAAAAAATCAAGCATTAAATTCTTTCTTACATCAACATTCTTCCTCATCTCTTGACATTTAGCTTTTCGCAAGATCTGATGCCAATTCTGATTGATTTTGGCAAGATTCAACCTCGAAAATGCTTCTTCTTTCTTGATTTTTTTCTGGAGATAACAAGTCAGTTATTAGTTATTAGTTCTTATTTTATTTTTGGTCTGATGAAATTCATTTATTCATTGAGAATTTATTCACTGAATGATTCTAAGCGGAACAGAAAAGTTGGTGAATTTTTCTGAGCGAATGAATGTTATCCCAGATGTTATCTCAGGTTTTCTAAGGAGTAGGCAACCCAAATTACATCTTTTGCCTCGCTAAAATTTTCAGTTCTCATTTTTTTTGAGAAGAGATATTTACAAATGAAACTTTTTTTTTTAATTACTTATTGAAAATTGTAGGTTTTCTTGAATTATGTTAGAGTTTTCTAATGTGATGTTAATAAACCCATTTTTTTGTGCTTACATTTCAAACGCTGGCTGAATCCTACGATATAGATCAAAAAATGTACTACAGTATTGTTTACCTTAAAAAGATTCGCGATGGTATATGTCTGTCTCTCAGAGATAACCCACAATAACAATTTTTTCCTTGAGAAAAATGGCTTATTTACTAAGCGATTTTAAGCAATACAGCATTAATCCTCATCCAATCAAGTACCTTAAATACATTATGCATTCAATATAGATAAATATGACCCTTTACACCTTGTGAATACAGGGACATAGCGGTTGCGGCGGTACCGGCCGGGGGCGGAGGCACGTGACTATAAATAGCGCGTCGAAGGTTACAGTGCTCTTGATTGATTCAATATTTTTTTGGAATTAATCTACTTCAGGTATATTCAACAATAATAAAAAAAATCCATCTATCTTAAAGTGGTCGACAATGTATCTTGGTGAATATTCGAACTTCCATTTTCTGAAGGAGGTGTTAATAGATTTGAAATCTATAGAAGAACATACGAAATGAAAACAGATGAAATGTTAAATTCATGGAAATTACTGAAAATTACCCTATCGAATTATTCAGTAAAATAGGAAAATTTTTGTACCTCAAGAGAAAATAATTTGTAAAATGTCAAATATTTCGAAATGGAAATAAAATAAAAATAAACAATGGAAAATGTAAAATATGAAAAAAAGGGGAAAGAACGTTTACTCCATACAAGCAACAGAGTTCTGCAAAACATTATCATGCATAGTGAATGTGAACTCCCAAGCAAGGGTGCTTGTACAGAGTCGTACTAAGGAAAGACCAAATTTTTTTTTAATAATATACGTCTGGGTATAGGAAAATTTTTTAGGTAGAGTGTAGGGGCACAAACTATCAGTTTTTTCAGCCGTATCAGTACTTGACACTTTAGAAATTTAAACTTTAAAATACCGTATATGTATACAAAACAGGCGTTTAAACGTAACTCATCACTCCAACCTGTAGTGATATAACTGAATGAATTCCGCCAGCCGATTGCAGTTGAATTTGATTGGCCAGCGTAAGGAGGCTTGTTTATTTTACCCAATAGATTCAAATATGCCCATCTATCATTGTTTGGTTCACTTTGTTTGTTGAATGGACAGAGTTGTTTCACAATAGTATTTGGATGATAACTGAGGAATAGAGAAAACCGAGAAATAGTATATTGGTTGTGATGCCAATCATAGTCTAGGGGCGCATATTCAAGGAAGTTTCCTGATTCGTCCAGTAAAAACCAAGCTAGAAAGTCTGTTTATCCGCCAGTCATGACGATCCAAGGTGTTCCGAAGATGCAAAATAAATAGTTTTCTAGTAGGATTATCATGCGGGTGGAGCTTTCTGATTGTTAAATTCATTTAAACGTCATCGATCAGAGGAAAGGGGCTTCTGTTGATACTTTTTATCGACCATCTTCCATTCGACACGATATTATATGATTAACACAAAACTCTTCGGTTTAGTTTATGAGATATGAATGAGCATTGCGAAAACATTAATGGTGATCCTTTATTGTTGAAAATGAATGTAATTTTCGAGAGGATTTTCCTTTTCTGCATTGTAGTATGGTCTGAAAGGTAAAAGTATCCTCAAAGTGATGACTGCCTGTACATTTTTGTTATGTATAAATATTTGGGCATTTCAAAAACTTTATAATGTTTCGAAGTGAGCATTGATTCCATTAAATATTTACAAAGCTATCAAGTAATGAACTAGTTTGACATGCTGTCCAGTATGTAGAGAAGGTGTAGTTCTCTACCCTTACCGCCAAGCAATGAAGTAACCCTTTTTCATACATCAAATTAATCTGATGACTCTACCGAAGAAACAACATAAACCAAGAATATCAATACGTCAAATTAAAATTTCATGTGATATGATTTTTAGTAAACCTAACCTAACCTTCAAAAGGCACGTGTACCAATTGCACAGCTATCGGACTATAATTTGTGTGATAGAACATTTCAGTGAAGTGACTTTCTGATTCGGAGGGATATGCAAAATGTCCATGTTTAACGGCACAAAAAATAAAAACCACGTAACCAACTATATATAACATGTGCTCAACAAATGTTTTTAGANAGGGATATGCAAAATGTCCATGTTTAACGGCACAAAAAATAAAAACCACGTAACCAACTATATATAACATGTGCTCAACAAATGTTTTTAGATGGACACTAGAGCAGCTGAAACTTCCCCTAGCCAATGCCGAATGAATACTAGTCTTTACAAGTTGGGCATACACAAGGATCGGTTTCAGGACCTTCTCTTTTTCTTGTATATATAAATGATTTACCGGGTATACACACTTCTGGAGAAATTATATAATTTGCATGGTAAAACTATTGACGATTTGAATATTAAGATATTTAGAGACATAAATGTAATCAAATCTAGTAACTTTTGAATGTACTCTAGAAGATATGCCTTTAGAAACGTACTCAGCATCCCAGTAATTCCATGATTGCTTGTACGAAACTGATACTTCCAATTGAAGGAGGAATTCTTTACGCAAGATTAGGGACTGCCAATGGGATCCCCACTGAAACTCTGGCAATTGAAGGAGCCCCCACAAGAAGTCCCGAGTCTGGTTGAGATACATAGACGACACCTTCATAATATGGAACCGTGGGAATGCAGAACTAGACACTTTCCTGAAGTACATCAACAACGTAAGTCCTTCTGTCACTTTCACAATGGAGAAGAAAGTCCACAACGAATTGCCTTTCTTATACGTATTGGTGAAGAGGACCGACACTAAATGGGAAACATCTGTATATCGAAAACCCACTCATAGGACAGTATCAGAACCAGAAATCCAATCACCATCAATCGACTAAGAGAGGAATCATCAAAACTCTACTAGACCATGCTTTTGGGCTCTGTAATACAAAGGGAGGTCTCGAAAAGGAACTAAGCATCATCAAAAATGACCTTCAACGGAATGATTACTCCAGCGTGATGCTGAAACAGGCCTTAGCTAGAAGACAGCAAGAACTCCACAAGGAAGAGAAGCCGCCACAACCAGTACTTGTACTTCCCTACATCAGAGGATTATCGGAATTTCAGGGATTTCAAATAAATTTATATTATATTAGACAATGGAAGTCCGAACTGATGAAATACACCACGAAACATTGTCAACCACCTTCAAACAAATATATTCAAAGTTTCGAAAATTGCAGTCTTCAAGCTTTTTGGCAGAATACCTATAGAAAAACACCACACAATATTCACATCTGAAATTGAAAGAGGTATATTTTTAGAAGTAATTAATTTCTGGGAAAAAATGTTTTGGCTTTCCACTTCATCTTTATACAAAAAAATGTGGGAATATTTCAAAGAAAGGAAATAAGTAATCAATTTAAAAAAAAATCAACTCTATACAAAGATGTGTAGATCATCTTATTTCACGTGCATTGAAACTTTTCAGTTTAATAATCAACATTTTTTCTATAAAAAAACTTGATTTAACAATGGATCTGTTTTCTGGTGGCATCCTTCAATTTAAAAGTTATATACTAGTAGCTTTTCGAAAAAAAAAGCGTACGATTTAAATGTTCATTTAGACGTGAACTATTTGTATATAACTCGAACATGAAGTTGGGAGGAATTTCAAATTTAGTCAAAGTGAGAGAGATTTTGACTCTCCATTTTGTTCAAATTTTATTCGCAGCAACAATATGCTGTACCAAATACAATGAAGAATGTAAAAAAAATGCATCATCTACATAATTGATTACAAAATTGAACTTTCAAAAGTATTCTGCAATGCATATTCACTTGATTTATTTTGCAGCATAAAAGTTAATGTTGACTCATTTTTTACATGCAATTTAGACTTAATATAGCCTCAAAAACAATTGAAGATCCCAATAATGAAGGTAAATACAATTAATTTGAATTCAAAATGCCATGACAACAATGCCATCAACCTGAAAAACCTAAAATAGGAAGATTTATTACCAAAAAAAGCTCCGTATAAATTTTAAATTTTAAATATCAAACTGAAGAGTTGTAATTTTTGTAAGTGGAAGTCTGTAATTCAAGAGCATCGATTTTGAACCTGGAAAACCTAAAATATAACCAAAAAGCAGCTCCGTATATTACTAAAGTTTTTTAAAGAAAATATGTTAATTATTAAACTCAAGAATTGTTATTTTTGTAACTGAAAGCCTATCCAAAGTTTCAGTAATCATTGTCCTGGTGAATAAAAAAATCTGTTTTAAAATCTGTTTATCCGTTAATCAGCTGTCGCCCCCATAGGAACGACAACTCTCAGAAGTTGAGAAACTTGTACGAGCTAAGGACTAACAAGGTCTTAGTAATGCATTATCAGTTGAATTGATATGGAAGTTAACTCAGGTATTTATGTAATTGAAAAAGTTATAGAAATACCTTCAGAAAAGTTGCAATCAATTGTTCTTTTCTTCTTTTTGCTTCCTCTTCGATATCAGCCCTGTTTTGAAGATATCTTGCTCTCTCTTCATCTGACATTTTGGCAAGCTTATTTGCCAAAGATTTTTTCTTTTTACCAGCCATATCTGATGAAATCTCACAGAATTCTAAAGAGAACGAACACGGAAACAAAATATTCAACCTAGAATTCTGGATATAAATCAATATTTTTATTTGCTCGATAACTTTGATGCATCGCCTAGGAGACCTAACCATGGTTGCTAGGCTGTCTGAAAATAATATAAAACACGAAGTGGATATATTCTATCAAAAACGTCAAAATATAGAAAGAAAAATGCCGAAATTTACTGCACGGTCAGTTTTAGCAGAAATCGAAATGGATGAGCAGTTTATGGAGGTTTTTGAAAAATATAATGATAAAGAAATGAGTCCTGTAGAAATGGACTTGAAAATTCAAGCAGATAGGGTGATTTATGTCATCAATAGATGCATGGCAAAACTCAGTATCATGGTGAGAAACCAAATATTCAATCTTTAATTTTTTCTGGTGATTTTTTCACGATAGGGACCTTTATTCAATAGTTTTCATTGGAAACAGTATTTGCAGCAAGTCACATTCATAGAACTATTTATAATTGAATCTATACAAAATGAAATATGTAATATAAAAATATATTCCAACATTTTTTACTACTTTTGAAAGTGAGAAACATCTCAGTAACAGTAAAGTAGGTACCTACATTTATATTGATAACTTGGATTCGCTGAAAAAAATTATTGAATGTTCTTCAGATTTAACTTTTTACTAATCATATTGATATCTAGAGTAAAAATTTGAGATAAAGTAAAATGTGCAGTTTCATGGCTTATTTTTGAATTAGAATATTTTAGGGCTCCAGAGAAGTTTGCCCAAATGACAATGTCCATAATGAAACNGAAACATTCCGTTTTGTGACCGCTCTTTTTTGCAAAAAATCTTCTAATCGTAGAAAGTGTTCGGCACGAAATGGAAAAAACTGTTTTCAATGTGAAACTAATTAGTGACCAGCGCGGACGTTTTGTTGAAGTGTTCTGGGTTCCATTTTTTTTTTTGCTTAAGTATGTGACCAAGTTTTACTATTAGAAATGTATTTTCTTTGGCTATCGTTATTATTAATAATTGCAAAATTTGTATAGTATTTGATACTAAAAAGTTGAAAGTGCTAAATACGATAGCTAATTTTTAAATAATTTGAAATTACAAGAAGGAGCAACATGCGACCTCCGTTTGTGACTTATTTTACGATCACGAAAATATACTTTATTGTCTATTTTCTTTTGTAACTCTAACTTTTATCATTACTATTTTTTTTTATTTTAGCATCAAAAATGAAAAGAGTAAAAGAAAGTGGGGCATCTTACCGTAATAAGAGAAGAGCTAAGTTGGAAAATATTAGAGCAAATGAAGGGGCTTTACTTGAATATGTGAAAAGTGTTGTTCCTGAGACGTCAGATTCTACATTAGACTTAAATTCATCACAGTCAACTGGACCTTCAAACCCAGTAACGAAAATAAATCAATTAATGCTGAATCACTTGAATTATTGAAGTTTATTGTAAAATATAAGCTGGAAGACACTCTGCCCATAATTTAAATCATGCTGCGAATATTTTTTTAAAAATTTATGTTGGAGGTTTTATTGGAAAAGAATGATGTAGCTAAACCACTGAAAGCTAAAAAAGAATTTGAAAGGTCCTAGGTAGCAGTCATCACACCACTCCCCTCAGCAATTTACGGTATTGATCAGATAAAAAAATAATAAAATCGTTTAACGTAGTATTTAAACACATTCACTCAGGCAACGCTACGCCCAAAGTTTATTTTTAATTTTTTTTTCTTTCAGCTCTATCTACATCATTATCTTTTTTTTAATAAAAACTTTCAACAGGAATACAATTTTCACTTAGTTTATTTTCCGGTTTTTGGTTTCTAATTAAACAAAGTTTATTTCCTGACAATTTGTTGCAATCTTACTTCTCAATACATACATTTTTCAAAAACTCTTACTCGACTTAGGGCCACGTATGCTTGTCCTTCTTCAATACATTCCGAGCCTAAATACACAACTACGTGGTCTACAGTGCTGCTTTGCGTTTTGTAGACCCTGGAAGCCCATGAAAAAGCTAAGGGTAACATCCTTCTTTCAGCCGTCCCATAATTGAACTTTGCTGGAAACTGTATAGCTTTGAGGTGGGTAAGATGTCCGCCGTTCTTTCAAAGTTGATCTGGACTGACAGCACATTTGTTTCGTTCATTTGATTTCGACGAAACTGAGGCCAAAAATTTTCTGCAATGCAGCCGATAGCACCGTTTGCCAATCCTTTCGATACGTCAATATTGGGCCGCAGCATATTGAGGTAATTGTGAAAAAATATGTAACCCAACATTTTGTAGCTGCGGTCATCTTGGATTCACAACGATACAGAATTTGGTAAATTGTATTGCCATCAAAACTGAATGTGTGTACCAGATATCAGATCAATCTGTCAACAGGAAGGGGGTCAAACTTCAATAGGGAATATGCAGGCAATTTTTTTATATTTTTTATTCAATATTCACTCCATTTTGATGAAGAAAAAAAAGAGTAACATAGCTGTAAGAGTGGTAATTATTTTTTCATAAAATCTTAAAAATATTGGTTTAATTTGACAAGTTCAAACGCTCCTATTTCTCGCGCGCTTGAGGCGTGATGTCACAGGGCACGTCCTGTCAGTTTATTGTTTGCACTGAGAGTTAGTTTGATAGTAAACAAGGTGTTTTATTTTAAATATCGCGTAATAATCATGGAAGAAGAAAAAAGGCCATTTTATAGATATTGCATGGTACCAATGTGTCCGAACACTATAAAAAGTACACCAGATAAAGTTTTTTTTGCTGTTCCAAGAGATCCAAACATACGTAAACAATGGTATAAGGTTATGCGAAGGGATAATGTATCTCCAATATCGCGTCAACATTGTTGTGAAGATCATTTTAATGTAAGTATATTATATTTGGACAAATAACATCATGTAGTTTTGTAGAAATCCCTAGGTTACAAAACTTTCTATAATTTCATAACCTTATTTACGTATGTCATAACATCTTAGAAGATTCTTCATCTAAGCTCTGCATATACTTAAAAAAACTATTTTCTATGTACCTATACGTGAAGTTATTTATTATTTCTACTTAGGTATCCCAAGATGCTTCACAAAGTGTTGTGTTTATTTCAGATCAAGGAAGATACAGTAAATTATATTAAATACAAGCTCATGAAGGAACAAGGCGAAAAAGTTTAATTAATGTTGAATTAATTAATGCCTCATAAATTTCAATGCCAAAAACGAAATGTTCCATCACCACAGGAGATACTGTATGCTGTTAAGAAAAGAAGATTATCACTTATGAATGAAGTTCTCTCCGAACCTGAAGTCAATAGTGAAAATGTTTTAGAAAGTGAAACTTCACAAACAAGTTATTGTGATGCCGGACCAAGTTCTTCCTATAGTGAAGGCTGTGAAAATTATCTAGTGAGGCCTAGTACCTCTCTTATGGATGTCTCTGTAATAGAGCCCAGTACATCCCATGTTGAAGTCTCTACTAATACAGAAATCTTACTTAGTGACAAGTGTGTGCAAATAAATAAGAGATCCAACTTCAGAAGTAAAGCTGTTCAAGTTAATTTAACTACAAAAAAGACAAATGTAGCTTTATCTCCTTTTCCCCTTCCATCACAAAATATTGGAACTTCACCAATAAAACCTGTGACAACTGTTGTAAAAAGAAAATTATTTGCAACTAACTCTGATAGTACATCTATTTCTTCATAGATATCTCATGATTATGAATCCTGTAGCTCATCTGACTTAAGTTATTGTGTGCAAGATGAATCAGAAGATTTAGATGATGAAGAATATTTTAAAAATGTAATGCGCAGTAGTATTTTAAGTGCTATAGATAGAGAACCCAAAATGTTAATAGGATTACCTAAACAGTCATACCATATAATAAAACTTTTAAGTGAAAACATTCCACTTTCAACTGTAGACGTATTAATAAAACTTAAGAAATTGAAGTTAAATGAATCATTCAGCATACTTGCTTTACATATTGGCTACTCACAGAGCACTATCAGTAGATTCAATGAAAGTTTACCTCTTATCGCATCAAAAATGAAAGACTTGATTGTGTGGCCAACACCAACTGAGGTATACAAAAATTTACCTATATCATTCAGAGCTAGGTATTCAAATGTTATTTCTATTACACAACACAACAAAAAAATATTTTTGGAATGTTTCCTACACTAAATTAGTCAATTTCTACTAATTTTGGGGTGATAAAAACGAAAATAACAATGAAAAATTTTTATTAGCTCTGGTTTTTGAGATACACAGTACTTAATCTTAAAGAGTAGTTATACTATACGTGAAAAGTGAAAGTACATAAAACAATATTGTCAACCAACTGGAAGTTACACGTAGAATTAGTTCAAAACGGTATAAGACATATGAGAAACAATGTGCTTCTCAATTTGAATTTTCAATAGATTGCAAAGAGTGATTGTCGTGTGACAAGCAGTCTCTATTGTTTATTAAGTTTCTTCGGTAGATTTTCAGGAGCCAAAAATGACTAAAATGATGACGAAGTTATTAGTATTTCAGTTATCATCATGGACGAGTATGATGTCTTAAATTGATGGCTGAAATGATGATGATAACGATACCGCGATGACGATGAAAATGAAAATGATGGCTGAAACGACTAGCAGGATGATGAAGATATTACTTTTCTCGTTATCGTTGCTGACTATTTCACCTTGCTGTTTGAGCTGAAGATCTCTCAAGTTTAGATGTGTTACGAATACTTTTCGAATGTCTGAAAAACTTTTAACGACATTCAGAAAATTTAAAAAATACGTTTTTTTCTGTATTTATTTCTTATTCATTTCAACCGATATTCAAAACCTGGTTATACTTTTCCACTGCAACTTTTGAAAAGCTGTAAATATATGCTGCAAAAACTATGAATTTTCAAATATGGACCTGTATTTTTCAATTCATTTTTCCTATCTTTTTAGGGCCATGTTTGATTATGAAATCGGACAACTTTCAAAAGTTTCAGCTGATTCGATTTATTGTATCGATATAAAATATTTGATCATCTT